AGGGTTTAGGGTTTCGCATGTAGTTACCATACCTAATATCGGAGTACTACACTTTGATATTTTGTATTTTGGGTTCCTGGGTTCCTACTATAACAACCTATTCTTAAAGAGTCTGTATTTTTATCTGGGGTGTACTCCCAACTAGGGAAACAGTAGTCCCTCCCTCAATTCTCCCCCACCCCCCTAATAAATAATGCCCCGCATTGTGGTATATTAGAATTTATTGTGGGTATTTGATATTAGGGGGGTGGGGGGGTTTAATATTAGGGGGAGGGGATTATTTGTTTTGCGTTATAGTGCTCTGATGATAGTGGTAGCTCTAGTTTTTAGTAGTAATGGCACAAGCAAAAGTAATCTTAGTACAAGTAATTAGGAAATAGTAAGAAATAAGTAGTAAAGAGCAAACAAGAACAGGGATGGTATAATGGTCGGCGAAATCAGACCTTAAACCTTAAACCCTAAACCCCTAAACCCTAAACCCTAAACCCCAAATCAGACCCTAAACCTTAAACCCTAAAGTAAGGCTTGGACTGTCCAAGCAGGTTTCCACGGCTGGGGGGTTAGGGTTTACGGGCATTTTTCTGAGACTCAACAACTTACTGATTCTTAGTAGGGGATAAAGGAATATACGTAGTATAGGGTGAATATAGGGATCATATTCTCTTATTCGCTACTAAGAGCCAGTAAGATAGTGAACATAGTGGCCCTGTTATTCTACTAGGTGTAATTCCGTATCGTCTTCATCATGAAATAACAAGACGTACCCAGGAACTTGTACAGCCGGCCGCGGCAATCCACGGCCACATCACCTTCTACAACTTGATGCTTCCGTTCCATTGTTGATTCGATGTTTCTTATGGATGTTGTAGATGTGTCAAGACAATAGCAGTACTGGTCCAAGCAATTGAGTTATTTTGGACCCCAGCTCCTGAGTACAATGACCTGAATGGCTTTGGCAGTTAAGCCTTGACATTTGGGCACTTGGGCCCTTAAGATGTAGTATGGTAGTAAAAATGATGGTGCTCGAAATTTTGATAGTGAAGGGCGCACGGAGGCAAAGACATGCCACTGCCTTTATTTGTCAGGCTTCCCCAAGCCCCTAAACCCCAACCCCTAAACCCTAAACCCCAAAACCCTAACACCTAAACCTTAAACCCTCAACCTCGACCGAGGTTTGACGCTTGTTGGTATCTGCCTTTGATCATCCTTTTCCTGGCCCGGCTACATGCCCTAACATAGACGTTAGGAGGACCCCCCACCCTGTAATAGTGGTATAGTAAGAATATAAGAGGACCCTAATATGATTCCTATTATCCCTTATAGTCACCATTACTGGGTGGGGCGTCCACCTAACATAGACGCTGCAATGGTTTCGCGGGTTTTCATAGTTTCGCTTTGCTGAGAAAAGCCTGGGTAGGCCCCTGGGATATTTAATATTTTCCCTAATTGCTTTAATAGGGGACCCTATATATTAACATTTTTCAAAGGGTTTCAGGGGCCAACCCAGTAGCTTGTCAGGAAAAAACCAGGCTGAACGCACCTTCCAACAACTTAATTATTTTCAGCACGCTTGAGGGCTTGCATGGCTGCTTGACTTTGGGACAGAGACGAGCCTTTTTTTCTGAGCTGTGCATACGTATGAAGATGCGGATGCCTCTGGCAACCCTTGAAATTGCAAGGAGCCTCACATTTCACAAGGCCCTGCAAGCCACATAACCCCAATATGATATAGTAGTTTCCATTTCATTTTCCATTATCCCTATATAGCCCCAATATAATATGTGTTTCCATTTTATTTTTTCCATTGTCATAAACATTAAACCCTGAAAAGCAAGAAGCCTTAAGCTGAGACCTTGCCAGCGCCATCATGTTCAAACTGTCAGGCAGATCCTTATTGAGTCCCCCAAAATGTGACAGATCCTCTTAGAACCCTGGTTTCTTTATAGTAGTCCTAGAACCTAAGCCCTGGTCCTTTTTGAAGTAGTGCTTAGGTCTGTCCCCCTTGGGGGTACCTAGGCATCTACCCACGGATGTGGAGTCAGAAGCTTGTCCCGAAGTCTTCGCAAGAAGGTTGACACCGCAAAACAAAGAGGGTTATATAGCGGAATATATAGGGGAGTATTATAGAACTTATTAAGGGGGATACTCAGAGTCTAGACTAGTTATAGCTCATTTATCCTAATCCTCCCCCAAAGGGGCACATGTGCGTATAATGCCACCCATAATTCCTAGAAGCCCGTTAGCTCTCTAATTTCTAACAAACCTGATAGAACCTGAAGCCCAAATTTCTCAGCCGTAGACATATAATCCCGGTACAATCCCTATATCATCATCCCTGTATAATTCCTGTGTAATCCCTATATAACCGCCATATAATCCCTACAGAATCCCTACATAATCCCTATATGAACCCCATAGAATCCCCTATATATTCCTTATAATCCCTATATAATCCCTATAAGCCCTGTATAATCTCTGTATAATCTCCTACATAGACAAGGAATCTGATGCTCTTCAGCTCGAAGCCCTTTTTCTCGCACCTGGAGCAGTTTCCCCAGCTCCGCGACGGGCTCCACCGCCTGCCTGTGCCCAGGCTTTACCCTAAGGCTCTAAGGATAGTAAGAGTTTTGGGCCCAAAGACCATACTATACAAGTCTTTTGGGCTGTTGAGCCTCAGGGTCACAGTTTGGGTGGGGCAATTTCTTCTTGAAAGCTCGTTTTGGAGGATTTGCTTCCAACAATTGGAAGAGATGACTAAAGTTACATTGTATTAGGGTTGTACGGTTCTACGAAGGTTTCTGGGGTGTCTAAATCTAGGCAAGCGCGGAGGTTTTTGAGAGGAAGGATGATTTCCCCATCTTGCTGCTCAAAACTGCTTCGCAACCGTTCGAATATGACCCTAACCCTGAGGCTCGAACTATATAAACAATACCTACCTTGGGCCCCAATCCCCACAACTAGTACCTACATGGAGCCTTAGGGTAAGTACCCTCAGTTCCAGGAATTCTGGAAGCTCGCTTTGTACCGCAGTACCTCGTGATTGGCCTCAGCGCTGATATCTTGTTCTAAACAGCTTTAGTGCTTTGTCCCAAACCGTCAACCTTCAAGGCTAAACCTATCTCAAACCCTGAATTTTCATGTGAGCTATATTCTAATTAAACTCCTTGAAGGAGGTTAAATAGGAGATTATATAGGGAGTATTATAAGGGGTTATTGAGGGGGAAACCAAAACGCTAAACTCTAAACCCTAAACCCCTAAACCCCTAACCCTGAATGGGTAGCTGCCACGTCTGAGGTGCAGTCTGACAGGCCCCTCGCAGTTGAAGACGGCAAACTTGCGCAGTTGACTTGGGGGTTTTCCCAAAACCAGGGTACCGTCTTGGGGGTCCCTACTAGAGTCCCTACCATAAAGATTGTTTATTTGGGGGGTCCCCTTGTTTCTGGAAACTACCACTTTGGTCTTTTTTTTTCGTCAGATGAAGCGCTGGGTTTCAGGGCCCCGGATGCCTAGGAAGGGGCTCCGGGATGCTTAGGCTGAGATGTTGTTTAGGGTGCAGGGGTTTAGGGGTGAGGGCTTGGCTTTAGGGTTGAGGCACAAGGGTTCTGGGTTTAGGGGTTAGGCTTTAGATTTTAGGATTTAGGGTGGGCGGGCCGTTTAGGGTAGGAATATACCCATGCACGGCTTGTAGCATCTGTGATGGGTTGTTTTCTTCTTGTAGACCACCACGTTGGTGTAGCACGTTAAACTTATTGGTGGTGAGTAGGGAACAAGGGAATATAGTATAATCCCGCAAGGATATTTTCCCCTATCCCCTACTAACCAACAGTATGTAAACGTATGGCTTTCTGAAAGTAATCTCCGCTTAGTCGATACCAGGCAGAAATGGGCGTCCCTCAGTGTCCAGTGCTCCCGAGCTTCAGTTCCAGAAGCCTCCACCCAAACTGTCAACTCTAAGAGATCTGTGGAGAGCAAATGTTCCAGAAGCCCCACAACATCAACGTGGCCGGCACTTTGTCGTACCTGAGATATAACATTCCCCTTCACTTCAGAAAACTTCCTGTGTTGCACATGTTGAGGAGACTCACATTTGCGTGGGAAGCAAAATCGGATTGGGTTTTCCAAAATCGCGCCCTATGAACCGCAATTGGTTGCAGGAAGCTTGTTGAAAAAACCTAAACAGCCTTCGTCTCGGACGTGAATGGACAAGTCACCGCCATCAAAATCAGGGTCAGAACTGCATTTGCCAACGCACATGCCTTCAATCTGAGAAGTTTTGTGCGTGGGCAATGTAGAAGCCTTTTTGTACCAATATGATGGTCCAAGGTAATTTGTAGATGTCTGGTGTAGGGTACCTCAAATAGACCTCAAGTCGATACTGGTAATCAATCAAGCCACTACAGTATCCAACGAAACCCTGCGAACTTCGACCCTACAGCTCTTTTGCGTGAACCCTAAACCTTAGTCCCTAAGCCCTTCTGGGCTCTGCATGGGCTTCCACTTTAAAGGTCCTAGAGCTTTGGGCTTGCTGGTTGTTGGCAGGGAGGCAATACGGAATGAAGGCGCGGATCCTCTGGTGTCATATGAGCTATAGTCTAAACTCCTTAAAAAGGGATAATATATGGGAGTATAATGTGGGAGTATCATAGGGGATATATTAAGGGGGATACTAGGAGTTTAGACTGTAGCTCATATAGTGTTGGGGGTTGAGGGGTTAGGGTTTAGTGTCCAATGCAGTATGATAAAGTAGTACACATGTTCACTTACATTCCTTCTTTCCCTACTAGCCACCAGCAAACCCTAGACCCCTGCTTGGAGGTTAGTAAGTATGTTGATAGTAGGAATAACTGAGGTTACTACATGGTTTACAGGGCTTACCACCAGACTCCCCTGACGCTCCAAGCAAATTAAACCTAAAACCCTCAACTCTAAAGCCCTAAACTCCTAACCCCTGAACGCCTAAACCCCTAAACCCCTTAACCCTCAACCCCTAAACTGTCAGGTACTGGACCTGGCTTCTGGCTTCTCTGAAGTCGATCGGCAAGCTGATCCTGCTGTCTGTGGTTGATACGCGTTCTTCAGAACCATTTTCTGTGTTGAGGATTTGGGGTTAAGGGTACCATCATGGGGATACATAGTGAATACCAGAGTTTCCATATTGTGGCAAGTTAATTCAAGTTCCTCAGCAGCAACCCAGATTTGTCCTGTTCAGTGGGAACTTCCCGAACTATGGGGCTACTCGCATCCTAGGGCCGTGGCATATATGATGTTTCTCAAAATTAGGAATGCTTCTTGGGGGTTCCTATAACAAGGATTCTAATATTTTGGGGCCTATCTTGCGATACTCCTGTTTAAGGAATCACTACCATATATCGGGATGAAGATGGGAAAGGCATAGGTCCATGAAGAAACATCTTGAGGTATCTCCCAGTGTCCACTTGGTTCTCCATGTTGGTGGTAATATCCCTAAAACTTACACCCTAAACTCCAAAAAGTTGTTTCCAGCTTATGTTCCAGGATCTCCCTATACCCTATGCTCTAAACCCCTAAACCCCCCAGTTTTATAGGGATCATACAGACAGTCCTTGGAGAAACTCCCAGGTGCCAGGGGGTTAACTGCATGTGGTGGTCCGTATCCTTGGGTTAAGGGATGTAGGGGTTTAGCGGTTGAGGGGATTTAAGGGTTTAGGGTTCCAGGTCTGGAGTTTCAAGTTTAGGGGTTTAGGATTTTTCGGGGGTGAAGGGGCTTAGGGTTTAGGGTAAGGAATGCCCCAAGTTGGGGAATGAACCGCAGTAGTTCATGTCGGAGCTACTCAAATCGAATGGTCTTGCTTTGGGGGGGTGGGTCGAGGTATATGAAGAGTCTTTACTTGGGCTATTCCACGGGCAGCCCATGTAATTTGAGAAATACCTTGGTAATCCCTCTCCCAGTAGCTGCCCTGATTGAAGCGCTATAAAACTTCGACTATGTCTTGCGGCAACCGTTGCTGTAAGCGGGAGTCACTCAAGCATTGCCCCTAAACCCTAAACCTTAAACACTAGACCCTAAACCCTAAACAAATGCCTGTATGTTGCCCAATTCCAGGTTGTCTTCCTGCTTAAAATGGGCTTCCGCCGCTTGCAGCATGCCCTGAGCGTCTTCACAGTGCTCTACACCCAATACACCAAGTACTACAAGAAGGTGGCCTTCGTGGTGCTAGGGTGGGGGCTAATGGGGGGGGGGGATGCAGCATGCAAAGTGTGCACCGGGACCCCTGAATCCAACACCCCAGATCCTAAAACTGAAATCCTAAACCCTAAAATCCTAATCCTAAACGCAAACACCCCAAATCTCTAAAATCCTAAGCCCTAACACCCCGAAATCCTAAGACCTCAGCCTTAAATCCCTGTGAACCTCAAGGTGAAGGTCTTCGCGGACCCCAGGTGCGGATTTCCTGAAAATGTCAATTTTTACCCACTGGCCCAGAGGGTCCATATACCCAATAATTAGGTACTTGGGTTTAGGGTAATAGTAATTATAGTACAGGTCTTGGGTAAGTATATGATTAGTAGGTACTTGGACCCTTAGGGTAGGGGGATGGAGGAAAAATCTGAAGCTAGCATATCATGTCGAGTTTAGGGTTTAGGGCTGAGAATTATTCTCATGAGAGCCCACAAAGTGCAGAAGGAAATGGAACATGATTTACAAACTGGGATGGTATAGTGCTGGTAGGGATTACTCCGAGCACTCCCCTTTAACAAGGAAACACTGATAGCAAATGTTCCCAATCAAGTAATCAATCGGAGGAGATTCTTACCATTGGGACATGGGATTCGTCCCATGAAGCCCTCTGTTCTACGTAATCACAACTCAGATGACTGAAGCCCTGAGTCCTCGTGACCGTAAACCCTAGACCCTGACTCCAAACGCCAATCCCTCAGTCCACAACACCCTGAGTTTAGGGCTTAGGGTCTAGAAAATCCCAAGCCCTATAGCTCCTAATTCTCAAACTTCAATCATGGAAGCATGGGCCCCAATGCCCACACTTTAGGCATAAAGGCCATTATTTTACATACTTTTGGGGTCCAGGTAAACCTAAAGCAAGACTTAAACCCTAAGACCCTAAAACCCTTAAACCCTAAACATTGAACCCTTAAACCCTAACCCTAAACCCTAAATCCCCCAAACCCTAAACCCTGAACCCCCAAACCCGAAACCCTTAAACCCAGGTATGGGCAGAAAAGTCCGAAGCAACGGTCCAAGGCGTGGCTCTCCAGCCGCAGCACCTCGCGCCTAATGCAGAAGCCTGAAGAATTACTAAGAATTCAGGGTTATAATGGAGAATCAAATGGAAAATAAAATGGAAACTAATATAGTATATACAGGATTTAGGTTTTTAGGGTTAGGGTTTAGGGTTTAGGGTTTCGGGGTCTTGGGTTTTAGGGTTTTAGGGTTTAGGGTTTTAGGGTTTAGGGTTTTAGGGTTTAGGGTTTTGGGTTTAGGGTTTTGCGGTCTTGGGTTTTAGGGTTTTAGGGTTTAGGGTTTGGGGGTTTTGGGTTTAGGGTTTTGGGGTCTTGGGTTTTAGGGTTTTAGGGCTTAGGGTTTGGGGGATTAGGGTTTAGGGTTTTGGGGTCTTGGGTTTTAGGGTTTGGGGGTTTAGGGTTTAGGGTTTAGGGTTTAAGGTGGATACTAAAAATTCCTGCATGATCCTAAATACCCTAAACCTTGGGAAGAATGGTACTATAGTATACTAAGGTCATGCAGGATGTTTTAGTATCAACAGACATGCTGAAGATTGACTGGCTCCTGTTAAGGTTAAAGAACTTAAATTAAGTTACCATAATATGGGGATGTGTATATACATATACAAACATGTGTATCAGATAATATGGATGTGTATGTATATACTCTTTTAGCCAATAGAAGAACTTTTAAACTTGTTGGGCTTCCTTTTTGGGTCATTATAATGGAGCTTAAACTTTTCAGCCCTGGTTATTGTGGAAGAGAGTAGACACATAAATATATATATATATAACAAATGGTTACCTGTGTTAGTAACTTTATTTAAGTCCTTGAGCAGCAGACCCATCAGCCCAAAAAACTATTTTGACCTTCTCTACCTCGCCCCCTCTAATACCAAATAGACCCCCTGAAATAGACTGGATATATGTATATATGTACTATATATCTGTGTGTGTACTGTGTATATATATATATATGCACATTTGTATATATATATGTGATATATATATAGGGGTGGTTTTTACTTTTAAAGGACAATTCCAGAAGCCGCTATGCAAATCCAGTTACATTTCATCTTCCATTTGATTCCCAATCTTATTTGAGGGCCAATACGGGGAGATGCCCCGAATTAGAAGGCTTCTTTTGAGCTACCTGAGCCCTAAACCCTAAATCCTAAAAGAGCCAGGCCAGCTGAGTAGTATTTTATTCGGGGATACTATGGTGCCCAGTAGCTTCTGGACAAAGATGTCCTGCAACAAGACCTTGTGGAATTCAATGCCATCCTGGAGCAACTTTCTACCATTGTTGCCGGATTCTAGATTCTTCTTTCTGTTTGAGGAGCCAAAGTGCTCAGCGCCTGACTGATCTGACTGACTGATGTCCGTGAATAACACTATGGTACCCAATAGAGAGTAAGATTATCTCCTCCTTTCGGGTATAGTCTTGAACATCAAGCAAGTAGTCTTACTCGGTCCAGCCACCCACAAAAAGGCTACTCAGCTGACTTCGGTTCCTTGGAGGGTGTCATACGTGATTTAAGGTTTAGGGATTTAGCGTTTTGTGTTTAGGGTTTTGCTCGTTTTCAGTTAACCTCAACTCCGTGCCAATACAATTTCCAACTTCCTGCCTAGCTTTACCACCAACTTGCTGGTCGTTAGTAGGGATGGAGGAACGATCAGTGTAGTAGCCTCCTGTACAATCTCCTCATGTAGGATAGTTTCCACGTTTCCCTTCCTTCTGTATAACGACCATTCTGTACAACAACCATCCTTCCAAATCCTCCTGTGGCTCCGCGTCTTGGGTTCATCTGAGTTCCCGTCATGGTCATGCTCGTATCATTTTTCTGCATGCAATGTAGAAGTTCCGCCAGCATCAGGGGCTTTTAGTAAGGCATTAAGATTATGTTGCGCGCATGTTGGTGGCAACCCTATGCCCAAAGCGCATAACCAACGCAGAGTACCGTTGGCAGCTTGTGGCTATTATACTATATTATAGAAAACTGTAATATATAATAATATATATATATATACTATAACATATGGAGACTGCAGGAGGGTTCAGTGTTCGAAAAGGCGGAATTGCACGCAGGCTGCAGGCGGAAGTAATTGTTCATCATAGTGCAAAATGCGACAGACATATGGATGCCCAGCGTTTACTCGATGTCTTCGTACATTACACGCAACAACACGGTAATTTGCAAGATGTCTACATAATTCTGAAGAGGCATTCCCGCAATAATCCCTCTTTGTCCTGAATGTATCCTGAATCCCTTAGCATTCCCTTTTTTTGGAGAGACTCCAACATCATGACAGCCAAGGCAATCTGCTGATGCTCGCTGCGAACCTGGTAGCTGGACTGGATTTTTTTTTTTGTCCTGCCGTCATTGTTACCCTAAACCCTAAAACCCTAAACCCTAAACCCACACGGATCCAGAGATCTGGGTTAGGTGGTAGCCTACCTGATGTTTGACCACGTCGGCATTGCAACCTTCTTCTTGCGCTTCTACGAGTGGTACATTGCCTCTGTGGCTTTGAGCACCGAGCTGTTGGGAGAATACACGTACAGGCTGAGCTACAAGCAAGAGCGCATTTTTGTATACAAGCATGGCTGGTTCCTTTGCGGTTTCGGGACTGTTGTACTGGTGGCCTTCTACGTGCCCTTCTTGGGCCTTGTCCCTGGGTTGCTGTTAGGGAACTTAAGTTAAGGTACTATATTGGGGAAACCCTTTTAATTACTATATATAGATGTATGCACATTATGGTAACTTAATTTAAGTTACGATATTAGGGAAACCCTTTTCAGTATGCTATATATATGTATACCCATTATGGTAACTTAATTTAAGTTCCGAACAGCAACCCAGGTCTTATATCATACCTTCCAGTATGCCAGCGCGAAGCTTCTGGTGACCATGCTGGAGCATGAGAAGCGTACAGATGAAGAGCCCAAGATGCTTCTTTGGGACTGCATTTAGGGAACTCAAATTAAGATACTATATAATACACCCCATAATGGAAAATCAAGTGGACAACGAAGTGGAAACTAGGGGAATACAGGAGGTTTAAGGAACTTAAGCTAAGTTACCATAGTATGGGTATCTGGTCCACAATAGGGTTCCCTTGTCATAGTGGCTGAATTGAAGTTCCTTAACAGCAACCCAGTCTTTGGGACTGCATCTGACGGAAGGAAAAATGGAAGACGAGCTTCTGGGGCTCCGGGTGTACCCTTAAGGCTCCAAGTATCTAAGAATCACGAGTATATATATATATATAGATATATATAAATATATATACATATTATATCTACGCGAAACCTGTAGCATAATTACTATCATCCAACACCCAATTGCCTAATTATTGGGTACTTGGACCCTTTGGGTAAGGCTCTTTGTGTAAGTGTTGATTCTGCCTCGGGCTGTCGGCGACTTTACTGGGCTTGGAGGGGTAGGGCTTAGGGTTGAGATCTAGGGGTTAAATGTATTTATCATATGAGCTACTGTCACTATTAGCCTTGGTAAGGGGCCCCTAACAGTGAACATTAAGGTCCTCGTGTAGTTTAGTATAGTCCCTAACATAGTCCCTAATAAGGAGCCCATGTCCATTAAATTGGGTAGGAAATATTGACTGTAGCTCATATGAGCCATAGTCTAAACTCCTAGTATCCCCCTTAATAGCCCTTTTAATAGTCCCCTATATAATTCCCTATGCAACCCCCTTTAAGGAGTTTAGAAAATGGTTCATATGGGATGTATAGACTGTAGCCGTTACCATGGTATACCTACACTGGTTCTTCGCCTTTATTTTGTTGTAGTACCTCTATTCACTGGCCGGCTCCTCTTTCCTAAAACCCAGCCCTATAGTCCCCCTCAAGTAGATAGAATATAGGGGTCATATTGGGATAATGGAAAAGAAAATGGAAACTTCTATTTAGGGTTTAGGGTTTAGGGGTACATCATTTCAACTTTCTTTCCCTTCGTTCCCTAGAAATTCTTTGTTCATTCCCCGCGCTCCCGTGAGTACCGATAAATTGAATTGAGCTCGGGAGCTTAACTTCCGCACAGGCCCACGCAACTGCTGGGACTACCCAGACCCCCAAAAGGATC